GTTGTCAACACTATAAGAATAATATTATATATAAATCAATACTTCTTTGGAAAAAATTCAATGATTTTCAAGATTTGGATTCCGTCAAACATTTGAAGCTAAACTTTTTTTTTTAAGAATTAATGGTTTTATTTTATAGTAATTGTTTAATATTTTACATATAGAATGCTATTCTTTAGATCTTTTTGCAATAGTTTGATGAAGTGGTATTCGGAAATATTTCTTTAATATTATTTTTCACACACTTACTTCTGATATTGTTCCTACTTCTGACTGTTTTTACCGTGTATGGCTATACTTCATACCGAGGTTATAGCGTTTTTTATGAAAATGAAATACCAATTTTGATTGCGAAAGTAAAAAAAGATTTATAATCTCGACCATTGCTTTTTACACATTTTAATTTAGAAAAGTTCGTCTTTTGAAGCAAACCAATCGGACACCCAATAATCGACTTCTGGATAGGATTCGATGTGCTGCTAAGCTAATGCGTGTCTCATCGATGAAAACAAATGGTAATATGCTCAAGGTGTCACGTCTGGTGCATACGGAGGGTCGAATAGCAGCTCCCAGCCAAGTACTTCGATTGTATCCTGAACAGATTWTTCTTATGTGCWAGTGCTCTGTAGTGTAAGAAAATTATTTTGCTGTGGSGTCTGGCCCAGTATGGTCGTTTTTCGAGCAATGCATGGTTCAAATTGACCATTTGTTGTCTGTAGCCGTTAGTATTAACATTTCACTTAGTTTTAGAAGCTCATGGTATAACACAAACACGGAGCATTGCCTCCTTTCCGATCTACAGCTATTTTCTGCTAGTAGATATTCCACTAGTAGGAGCTAGAAGGTCTCTGAGTTTTTTACGTTCTCAATTTGTGTTTTTTCTACTGGTTTCTGTCAGTTTTTGGGTTTAGGTGTTAAATACTGTTAGAAGGCCGCAAAAAGCAAATTTTCCAGAAATTTTTTTCTGACAAAACTTTTAAATTTATTGATCCAAAAGTTTGTACCCATATTATGGTATCTTTTAATTGTATTTTAAGACTTAGTGTTAGCGGTGACCACTATATCTCTGAACTGGATTCTCTGAAATTAAAAAACCAAGCAGATTTCGTTAAAGTAATATTAAAACTAATAAACCAAGTACAAGGAATAAGAAAAATAAATTTTTTTGACAAAAAGGCGGCTTCTAAAAAAATCGAGTTTTGACGAAAATTTTGACCTTAARATGTTTATAAAAAAATTTGTATCGCTGAGAAAAAATCTTCGTTCAATTACATAAAATATATTCATATCTTAACGCTCACTTCACGCCGGTACACCATGSCTGATAGTTATTTATTTTTCTGCAATAGCGTTCAACTGTTGATAAAACATATAGGAAGGGTGATCAATTTCGGGGTTCCTATTTGTTTTTTTTTAAGAAAAACGCAGTGTCTTCAAATTTACAAATTTAATGGGTARTGCTTATTATCATTCGAAAGAACCTTGCGTCGCATTTATTTTTTGAAGATTRTCTTTTTCAAATGTTGGCCGCTGTTATATCTCAAATGGTCCATCCGTTGAGTCCAAATTTCGATGGCCTAAATTCATAMGGCACCAAATTTCCATGCTCTTCAATGTTGAACTCTAAAATATTCTACGAGCCTCATCTTCAAACTTTTTTATTCATCCAGAACGTGCTTCGTTTTCCAAACCAAAATAACAAGTTTTGAATCATGCAAACCACTTTTGACACATTTGCTCAATCAAAGCGTGTTCACTATCAATTTCCGCCAAAAGTCGATGACTTTCGGWTTTCATAGTGAAGTAGTGAAGAATAAAAATTAGTAAAAGCACTTTTTCAGCCGCAAAGTTTGACGGAAATAGTTGAGTGAATATTTAAGTTGTTCGTAATATTGTAACGATGGAATAGTAATAGTAAAGGCATACCTTTTCTTTCTTAATTTTGACGTCCTACAAACTGCGCACAAAATGTTTCCGATTTCAATATGAATAATAATTTGTTGTTTTAATTTTGTTTGCTAACTTTTTTCGAATCATTTGGCAAACACCCTGTTTTATCAATTAAGGATGAGCCTGACTTTTGTTATTATTATTAAATGTCAGCAGTAAACTTTGTTCGTCATTTATTTCAAGTCTGACGCAATAACAAAAGCGTCAGTAATTCCATTTAAACTCATTTATCAAATCAGCGCCAACTGATAARGATTTGCGTCCAAAGAAACAACACTGTGATAACTGTAAACAATGAAATTATGAAATTAACTATTTGAAGTCTTCATAGAAATGAAAAGTCATTGAAAATCAAGTGGAAATACAAATATTTTGCAAAAAGTGTTGAAATTTTGTCGGAGAGCGCGGAGAGCGCCTGCTCAATTGATATCCATATAGTGCTTACTAAAGAATGTTGGATTATTCCAGAGTTCGGTTACAGTTTTTCGTTAATATTCGACGAATAATAAAAAAATATTTATTTCTATTAAAATTTCTCTTTTATTTCTCTTTTAAATATAATTTTTTATTTCACTCATTTCAACAAATATTAATTGTACTTTTCACGCTCACACAACAATTCATCATAACATTTGATTTAAATACTAAAATAATTAAGTATTGTTATAATTACTGTGTTAAAAGTATTTAATTACCCAAAGTGTAAGAATTTAAAATTTTTTTACAAATTATTATTTTAAAATAAAATTAAACAATAACTTACAAATGTAAATATGTACAAATATATTCGAGTTTATYCAAAGTGCCTTATAGTAAATATAAATTTAATTCTAAAAATAAATAAATAAGTGCAAAAAACTATACAAAATAAAGGAATGCAATATTTTAAGTTTCTGTGTGTGTTTTTGTTGTAATGAACTTCATTTTTATAATTGAAAGAGTTTTACAGGTACAAAATAAATATGCTAKCATAAACAATATATTAACTATTTTTTTTTTAACTTAATGGATGGTTGTAGCAAAATTGTGATTTCTTGCATAAGAAAMGTGATATGTATGTAGTAAATATTCATAAATGTATGCAATTGGCTTGGTTTTGTATTCTACATTTTTTACTTCGCTTAGAAATACTCTTACTTGTACCCATCTTCATTCCTTCAATGCCTGTGCGTTCTGCTAACTTTTCTATTGCAAATGCGACATATATAACAGTCTAATTAATTACAATTTTAAATAGCATTATAATTAATTAATTATTTTTGTAAGTTCTATTGAGGTAGATTTATGATCGAGCTTCAGTTGCAAATAAGTATTGATTTCATATGCTGCATAATTAAGTACATTTGCTATATAATTATTGTGTAATCAAAAAATTGTAGGTAACTAATTTTTTTGATTTCGAAATTAATTTTTTTAATTGTTATTAATTATAGTTGTAATTTTTTATTTTTTTTCTCATAAAATTAATAATTTTTTCTAATTTCGAAATTCATTTTTTTAATCGTTATTAATTATATTTTTATTTTTTTTAGACATTTTTGTATTTTTTCAAAGAAATAATTTTTTTTTTAATTTCGAAATTAATTTTTTAATTATTGTTAGTTATAATTTTAATTTTTGCATATTTTTTATTACATTTTTAATTTTTTGTTTTTGTAAAATTAATTTGTTAATTTGTTAACAATAATAATTTAATTAAGTAACAGTCTCATTGTTGCAATTTGTGTATATATTCGTGTATATAAAATGATTTTTTTTTTTTATATTTTGAGTATAGTGTGATATTTCGAGTTATTTTTAATATAAATGCGTTGTTAGCGAGTGAGTTCGAGTAGCATTATTTGACTAATGAGCCYTTGATTATATGAGCACAACAGTAGCGAATGGATCTAAAGTTTTAAATTTTGTATGTAGTTTCATTATTTAATGGTATTTGAAGCATATGAATAATATGTAAGAAAGTTTTGTAATTTAAAATATTTGAAAAAATCATAATTTTTTTATAAAGGATCGAAGTTTTGTAATTGAAAATTAATTAATTAATTAAAATAAAAAATTAATATAATTAATAAAAATAATTAAATATAATTTAATTCATTAAAAAATTATAAAGTTAATTTTTTTTATATTAAATTTATATTGTGTATTATTAATTTTATAAATTTAAAATTTTCGTTTCCTTTGCATTGATTTTTTTCAGTAATTTATTGCTCTTGATATTTATAAAAAGTAAAATTTTTAAAATTGAAAATTAATATATTAAAAAAGAAAACATTTAATTTTGTTTTAAAATTTTAAGGTTACGTCAATATTTTTTTCATCTTGTTATATATTACTATTTATGAAAGGTCGAGTTTATATTCTTGTAAATCATATTAATTAAAAAAACGAAATTAAGCTAATTAATTTTGTATAAAAAATTCAAATTAGAATAACATTTTATTATATTATTTTTTTAAATTTAAAATTTAACTGAAAAAAAGTTTTTATTAAAAAAAATTTGAGGAAAGAAACGAGTTTGCAATGCTGGAAAATTTTTGTAAAATTTTCTTTCCCTTCATTCAAAACTCAAAAGTCAGCGCAAAATTCCTTGCCAAAAATTTGTCTCTATTTACGTGATAAGCGCTCATAAACTCTCACGCTCTCGAACTCACTCATTATTTTTTTTGCGAATATTTCCGTTTTCTCATTTTGGCTTAAAACTTATGCATATAACTGAAATTAAACTAAAATCGCTTACAACAAAAACAATAAATTAGTCCTAACAACTGGGTTAAATATTTGTCTTTAAGTAATTACCAAAAATACAAAAATACTATAAAATACAACTTATAGTTGGAAGCAAAAAATGGTTTCAATACATAATAAATATAAGATATCTATTTTAGAGCTCACGTAGTACAACCTATTTGCCAACACTGTGCCTCAACCTTTCCGCCGCATACACACACACAACACTTACGTTATTAATTTGAACTTTGAACTATTTACGACTATAGCAGCTAATATTTACAAATAATTTATGAATACACCAGCACACATACACTGTCATACATACACACACATACAAACAAGCACTTGTATTTACACCGACGATCAGCTCGCTTGTTGCGTCAGCAGATTGATCAGCTCGGTGCGATCCATATTGCTTAGGGTCTGCATGTCAATGCCCAATGCCGCGGCAACGGCTTCGATGTCCARACCGAAAGAGGTGAGCAGCTCGAGGAAGCGCATCTCCTCGCCGGTCAGTGGATTCGTGACCATCGGGCAGGAGTGATTGCATTGCGGCCAACTGCAGCGCTCAAGCAGACGTAACGCGCATTTCTCGGGCACACGYGGCACACGATTGCGGCGCATGTGTTTCTTGTGTAGGTCAAATTGTGTTGTCGCCTCGATGGCTTGTTCGTCGTGCTGCAGCTCATGTTGTCGTTCGATTTTRCCGCTTTTTTGTAGTTTCAATTGTTGTTCTTGACGTTGCTCTTTACGTTCCTTACGTGACTTGTGACCGGGTCGGTGTTTACGCTCCACACCATTTGTTTTCGGTTTATTATGGTTRCGTTGTTTTTTGTTGGGATGTTGTTCGTATAAAGCGGTGGCGTTGTCGCTGGGTGGCAAATTGTTGTTACGCTTGCGTTCTGCTTCGTTACGTCGACGCTCGTGTCGATTGCGTTGTTTGTTCTTGTTGCGTTGTTGTTGWTTACGTTGACGTCGCTGTTGACGTTCGTGRCGTAGTCGCCGTCTTTCTTCACGCTCGGCTTTACTTAAGCGCGGATGTGTGCCATTTTGTGGCTCGTAGTTGTTGTTATCTTTCTTCCCTTTGTGTTGTTTGGATATACGGTTCTTATGTGGAATTCTTTGATGCTCGTTGTTGGAGCGATGGCGTTTTTGTTCGGTTTGCTCCAAATGGTTTTGTTTAGCGATGTTATGTCGTCTACGRCGTGGACGTGTYGAATGCTCCCAGCAACGGAGTGCTGATGGTAAAGAAATATCATCGATTTTRATATTGATCCAATCGCGYTTGGAGAGCACTGCATGGCCGATGCAAGAGGGCGCGAACACGCCTGTGACGTTGTCTAARGAGGAACGCAGCGCGCCSCCCATTTCATGTATGTAGTTCCAYTGTTGGGGCGTAACTGGTGCGCCCACATTGTCGGCGCGCATTTGTGCTTCATCGAACAGCCATTGGAAGACGAAGAGTGGTGCTGTGTATTGTGACAAATATTCATTAATGATATGTAAAATTAGCAGAAAATATAGTATGTTCTTACCTTTTAGCGTTGGATATAGACGGTAACCGAAATAGCAACGCCAMGGCTCTGCTTGATATTGTTCAACGCACGCTTCCGGCAGTGATCCCTGCCACATCTTCCAACCTTGACGCACTGCCTCACTGGAGCCGACTGTAGCTGGGGTGTAGGGTTCACGATCGAGAAACCAACCCGAGTCGCTTACACCACGCACAGTCACCATGAGTTTACGTTCCTGTTGCAGATAATTGGTTATGCGATCTAAGTTCAGCATAACACCGAGACCGCCAGCCGACGAACCGACCAGCAACAATTCTGCACCCGGTATACGYCCCAAACCGAGYGGAATTAGTTCGGCGATGACGTTGCGTAAGATCACAGCACCCATAAAGCGGAACTTGGCGTTCTCGTCGATTGTGTCGCGCGTACCCGACCACGAATCGCTGCTGCAGTAGGGCACGAGCACATGATTTGCACTGTGCCAATAGGGGTTCTCTTCCGGTAAAGGTGAGAGTATGCCACCAACTGTAAAATAAACGCAGAAATTGCTTTAATTCCTTAGTGACGCAGATTGAATTGGAAGACGTGTGCCATTAGCGCAAGCGCTTGGAGCGAATCGTCAGCGCACTTTAAATATGATTAAGCTACTTACCATCACGTTTTTCGGGCCACTGCGTGGACGTCATCAAGTGGCGCAGCCGCAACCAACGCGCACGACATGAGCGCGCATCAAAACAATGCCAGCCGCCCTCCAGAAACACAATCCATTTCTTCGAATTGGGATTTTTGCGCAAATAGAAACCAGCGCGCGAGCCATCATTACACACAACTGACATATTATTGAATTGTACGAGCTTTAGCGCGCGCCGGTTTTCCACCACTGGTGTGGCGAGTTTATTTGTGGTGCCCACATCGAGCGAATTTCTCTCGTTCGCCGACATCATAATATTCGAGGAGTTCAAAAAAGTACCGGATGGGGCGTTGCCAACCAGCGCTTTCGCCATGGGCGGGGTTGCCACTAATGCTGTTTTCGCCGCTCGATGTGCCTTTGTGGAGCGCGCATATGTTGGCTGTATTAACACCAAGCAAAGTAATGCGATGAACACGCTCTGTTGAAATAATGTTATGCACTGAACCTTGTGCGCCGCTAAGTAGGCAATGCTACGCTGTGTACACACTGTCTCTTATACACATCTAACACGCTCTGTTGAAATAATGTTATGCACTGAACCTTGTGCGCCGCTAAGTAGGCAATGCTACGCTGTGTACACAAGTGCTTGTGGATCGTTGTGGAACATAAATGATCACCGTGTTGGCGCTGACTGCACTTGATCTTATTAATTTTGTTGACGTTTGAGTTGTTGTGCTGTAAAAGTGGAGAGAGAGAGAAAGAAAACTATTAAAATTTTATAAAGTCGAAGTGAGAAATTCAGGGTGCGCATGAGAGGGAGAGATAGTGTGTTCTAGCTAAAGCGTGAGCACGTGTTGTTATGATAAACACTAGCATATTTACACGCRAGAGCACACCTTCAAAAGTCAAACGCGAATCGCGGAAACAGATTGTAGTGAATGAAATTGATWTYGTAGCCGGCTGACATTTAACAGCGTATATGTATATGTTATGTGTATAGGAATATGTCAGACGCTTGTCTACAATTGTTGTTTATTTTCATATTGTCTTGTCGCATGGCTCTTCCGCCACACCGGCATTACCGATTGCATTTATATATAACTTTTTGGATACATACAAACACACTCTTATGTGTATATATGTATGTATATCGTCTCTTTAAAAAATTACAAAATGATTGTCGATACTTTTGGCATATTTTTGTATACTTCAAGATCAAATTTGACCCGGACGGGTTCATATAAACTGCGCGCCCAAACCGATTCGATAAATTTTGTTCAAAATTTKTACACTTTTTAGGTTGCTTTGAAGCTTGACCATGAAAAACAATTTAAAAAATTCTTAATTTGAAACTCGTATTTCCAGTGGTTTTGGGGAAAGTCGAGATGTCATCGAAAACTTGGCTCATGTGAGTCATTCAGCCATCTCTGTTAATGGCAATAACATSGAAGCAGTTAAAGAAACAGTACTTGAAGAGAGAAGAAAATCTTAACATATCTTGTAGATCAACTCACTACATTTTGGTTAATGTTTTTGGTACGAGTTGAAAACGCCGATGAAATTATGAAAAATATTAACCAGGTCCGTCACATAAGCGAATGGTAATAGGAGTCGAATCAAATACGACAATAATTTGCGAAACAGATCATGGTCCAGCGTGGTGAAGTTCGAAAAATGGTCGCGTAGCCAGGATTGACGCCTCGAAAGGTTACAGTTGAGTGGCGATTTGAAAAGAATTATCCACTGGTCGAACCATTGATCCTACATTTTACTATAAACTGTCCAAATGGCAAAAAGTGGTCGAATAAAATTGTACATATTTGGTTCATTATAAATATAAAAAAATATGTAAGTTAAAGTTTGATCAGAAATACAAAAAAACGTTTTCGACTACGCCATATTAACCGTGGGCATGCTTGACTTGGGAGCCTMCTTTGATGAGGTTAGAACAGATTTGTTTTCAAATGTGGTTTTCGTCAGTCCGGCTCAACTTTGATCAGGTCGTACACACATACACACATCAATAAATAGTACATATGCAGGAACATTGCTGCCATCTTCAACTTCTTCATTTTATTAGGTAATATTTGTATTGTCTGCAAATTGTCGCTGTTGTTGTTGCTGTTGTTTTTATGTTGTTGTTATTGTTTTTGGTTAGTTTTTTTGTAATTCACTGCTATTGCTTTCATATGATTGTTTCTTGTTCGATGTTTTTTCCTCCGCTTTGGCGGAAAAACTTGCTTTGATCAAAAATGCGAGCAAGAAGCTCTGCGATAAGATCAAAGAGGTTTACCGCCTCCTTAAAGAGATACTCGCACAAAGCCAACAACAACAACAACAACAACAGCAAGTAGTAGAGCAACAGCAGCGGTAACAACTACAAACACACATACTCATACATACAAACATACATAGCTACAAAGCAATTACAACAAACAATAAACGAATTGTAATGAAAATAAAAACAATAGCTACGATGTTGTTGTTGTTTATTATAATAACGCTCTGCCGTTGTAAATGTTGTTGTCGCTTTATTGCTGCGCACCGGACAACAGCAATATGCCGCAGTGACCAACAACAACAACAATCACATGTATTGGCGAATATTTTTCGAAAGCAGCAGCTGCAACAACAACATAACAGCAACAAAACAGCGACTGCTGCAATAACTGTAACTCATTGAGGTGCAATTCATTGCGAATAACCGTCAATATTTCTGTAGCCATTCGAGTGGAAAGCAATTTTTCGCTGTCATTTATTGAATGACAGAGAATGGGATATGGACGCGGGGTCAGTGGGTTGGCTGAGGAGTGCCGTCTGCTGCAGCGAACTCTTTTGAAATTTTTTTTGCGCTGCTTTTTGGTTCTCTGTTTTGCCGCTTTGTGTATGTGTGTGTGTGTGTGTGTGTGTGTGTGTGTGTGTGCGTGAGTAATTTGTTTGTTTGTTTCCTGCCTTCGCTGCCTTCGGTAAGGGCAACAGCAATTTTTATAGCTGTAAAATAGGTGACAGCAGGTGATTCCTGACCCAATTGTCGGCGGTTAAAGGAAGTCTCACATTAAAGTCCGTAAATAGCGCGGCAGAAATGTGCATTCCTTTGAAGTAATGAGAAGTTCACATTCTTTTTTGTTAAAATTGTCGAACGCAGCGTAGAAAAAAACTGTGTTTTTTGAAAAATTTATGTTGGCTTTCAGGAAATTCGGTTTTATTGGAACATAAAGAAAGAGTTCTTAAAGAATCTTTAAGAATTTAAGTATTTTTGGCTTCAGTTCTTCTACTACTAATATTTTAATTAAATTCTTCGTCAGTTCCTTATTAGCTCTATTACATAGCTACGGTGTGATAGCCTAGCAATATTATAAGGAAGTTGAGTTGCATATTTTTGCCGAAAATTGAATTTTTTACACCAAAGTAGTGGAGATTTTATGTTTTTGTTATATATTGTCCTGCAGCGCCATCTAGCGGTTTTAAAATTCTTCAGTTTCATCATAAAGCTCTCACAAAGATTTTGACTGAGTCGATGGGAGTTTTGGATTCTTACGGGTGATCCAAGAAGAGCTACTTTTTTCAGTAGCCTTTTTTGACTGATCACGCGTGAGTCCTGTCAAGCTGTCATGTTAATTTGTTTATTATTGTTCGGCGTTTTATCAYGCCTGAGCAACGTTTACAAATTGTTTACKTTATTACGAAAATTTACGTTCTGTAAAGACGCTTCTTGAGATCCAKCATTCATGATTGGATAATATTCAGCCGAATACACCACTTCCAGCACTCAGTGAAGAAAACATAGCAACAGTAGTTGAGCCTGTACATGAAAACCGTGGAGAGTCGATTCGGTGCCGTACGCAGCGATTCGGAGTGATGTATGGGACGACTTGGCAGTTTTTACGTCGAGATCTTAAATTGAAAACGTACAAAATACAGAACTGAAGCCGCTCGATCTTCCTAAGTAACATCGCTTCACTCTTTGGGATCAAGAAGATCTGACGTTCTCGAGCTAAATTTTTTTCAGCGAAGAGGCATATTTCTGGGTCAGTGGTTATGAAAACATGCGAAATTGGCGTTGAAGTGGAGCAACCTAAAGAGATTCAAGAGCTACCATTTCATCTCCATATTTCCTCAAAAATGATACCGGTGAGAACGTAACCGTCAATGGCGACCGTTATCGCGTCATGATAACAGACTATTTGATGCCTGCAATTAAAGCTCGTGATCTTGGCGACATTTGGTTTCAAAAAGCTTCGCCGCTTCCCACACATCGGATCGATCAATGGATTTATTCGAGCAATTGGAGCAAAACCGTACACTTGTCATTCGCCAGCTACCGGCCGAAATGGTCGAAGGAGTCATCGACAATTGGACTCAAAGGATGGCCCAACTGAGACGTAGTCGCGGTCAAGTTGTTTTTTCGAATGATAATAAAAGTTAAAGTTTCTGTGTTTTTTTTTTTTTGTAATAGGGAACGTCGAAATGGACTGATCCTTATTAGGTATATTTCCTTACACTCATAAATTTGAGCTTTGAAAAGTGAACAATTAAAATATTATTAAAAATTTTTACATTTAACAACAACAGCATGGTATGGAAAAAATACCAATGAGGTACAGGTTCTAGGTTATTTTATGCTTTACAAGGATTCACTTTGTAAAAAATCTACTCTAAACTGTTCCAAAGTTATGGTATTTTTAATGTAAATCGATTTTTTAGATGTGACAACTGCTCAAAGAAACCTTTAAAAAATTTTTAAACATTTTTCCTTTCAGGGATATTTTTTTCTCTGAATATAGGTTAATTTCTACTTATGAATTGGAGAGATAACTTTTTGGTCTCCCTAACATACATGTATGTAGTACATGAAAATATATTATATATGTATGTTTACTCGAGTACTTAATAAATAATTTTCGTGGGCCGTCAAAGCAATTTGCGTAAAACAAAGTCGTCAAAAAAACCGCTATCAACGTCATCACACGTACCATATCAAGTACGATGCTCCAAAAAATACAAACAAMCATAACAATGAAAAATAAACAACAATGCTAACAAATACTGTAGTATTTTTGCTGTAATAAAAATAAACCAAGTTCAAGTGGCGGCACAAACGCTTTGATTTCATTTGCCAACGCGTACCTCGACGCTTGACTTCGCAGACTAWAAACAAAAAAAAATAAAAAATAATCACAGAGTTTTTTTGCTATTGATTGTATTTTTGGTGGCGCAAGTCGCTTGCAGATTTTTTTAAGATTATTGGGTTTGGACTCTTTTTTCACCCGTGCAAACAAATTGAGCTAACCCACCTCAATTTGTTTGCCCGGGTGAAAAGAGTAAAGATTTAAYGTGGCAGAGGAACGAGAAGAGTGAGAAAAATAGAGTAGAAATTCATTGGTAGGAGACTTGAGTATTTTTTCAATTCTATTGCGCGCGGAAATGTAGGCAACTTTTTGAAGAATATAAAAATAATGATGTATTTTTGGCATTTTTTCAAATAACACATAGAAAAAATAGTGAACCCGACTCAGTTGTATAAAAATATATAATATAAAATTTGATAATTAGAAAGACAAATAAATACATTATGTGTTTTTTTTTTGAAATCTCACAATTAGTCACATATTGAAATCAATTGATCTTTGCGGCAAAGCGCTTCAAAGCCGCCAGTAAGAAAAACAAAAACGCAATCCCACATTAAGCTCTCCACCTTGTATATTTGCGATGAGTGCTTTTAATAAGTTAAACTG